TATCTAATTTTACAACAATAAGTATGGATGCATGGCAGTTGGCATTTTTTGAAAGACCTTTCCTATTTGCCTTTGCAGGAACCTTCATGAATGCACTGTGATGACACACAAATTTCTTTCTAAAAAAATTTACCATTAGCAAGTTTGTTGACAACATAGGGGTTGGCCATGAAGGGAGATCATTTGGCCCACTAACCCCAATATCTAAATATATCTCTTATATAAATAGTGATTGTGAGAATATAAAATAATATAATATAAAATAACATTACTTACGAACAAACTATTTTTGTGCCAACAGGACGTGATGATCTTGCATTCCATTGTGTGTTGGTATTTTTCCCAAATACTTTGACCCAAAGATTAATGTCTTCCATTGTTTTTACACTGCTACGCACCAAAACTTTATTTTGTAGGCCTTCTTCATTACTAAATTCACTTGGGAGACAACTGTCATTAATCACTTGCACAAACATTGTTAAAAATTATGTTTTCTTTGTATCATGGTTAAAAATCTCAGTTTGCACTAGATCGAAAAAATTATAGAACAATTTAGCAGTCTATGGCTAAAACTAAAACCATAGAACAGACTAAATGAGGTTAGCTGAAAATCAGCTGTTAATAAATTGATGTTTCGATGGTTGCCTACGATGTGAAGTCATCTACAATGGTACAAATAACCAATAGGAGAGGCGGATATTCATATAGTGCCATAGGTCTGTAAGGGATCTTAAAATGCTGCCGGGGCTCCAGCCATAGATGACGACGAGCCCGAGTACCTCCCAGCTGAAGACAGCTTCCTGGAGGGCACAGACGACGCTGCCCAGGTCCACCAGGTCAGCGATGCCTCACCACCATCTTCCACGAGTACCATCCTCGCTGGGCAACAACCCGGAAGTGTCCAGGTGCCGGTGCAGGCATCCACCGAGATTCCAGAGCACCGAGTCACCCGTGTACAACAAGCGTTATCGAGAAGCGCTGTTTTCGACCAATCACAATTAAGAAAAAATTTCGAAACAGAAACTAAAAAATGGCCGGAAACAATTGAAAAAGACACAATTGTTTCCAACCAATCAAATAGCGAAACGTTTTCTATTGGTTAGTTTAACTTTTGCGAAAATTTTACATTTTACAAATGCCCTTATTTGGTCATACGAAATTCCAAAGCTTCTATTTTGTTCTAGAAACACGGTTTTCGTGACCAAATAAGGTAATGAAACGAGTTATCAATTCTTATTGGTTTCAAAATCCTTCTGATTTAATATAAATAGTAATGCCTGCTACATTACATTCAGTTCTGTAACCTGCCTGGCTTTTTGTTAAACCTTTTTGTTAACTAACATATACTAATATAGCTTAAGCGCGAATATTTTGTTCCGTTGAAGATGTAAACACTAATATTCTGTTCCAACTATAAACTATTTGTTTCATTCAATCGAGGTATATCATTCACACATGCAGACGAGGTTGGTGCCTAGTTTCTATAGCTAGTCCACCGGCCTCCCCCTGCTATAGAAAGTATAGGCCGCTGGCGGTCCAAAATTTTCTATAAAACTCAATAATCTCACTCTTAAATTTTATATTCAACCTCAGACTTTAAAAAACAATTAAACATTCTTTCATTCATGACAGTCAACAGCACACTCTGTGCTGTTGCTATTTTGCTCAATCTAAATCTAAGTCAACTCAACGTGATAAGTAGGAGTCAAAGGCCCACCCTGGCCGACTCCTGCTTGGACCAAAAGTCCAGCATTTTATTGTTTTATTCAGGCTACATTACATTACATTACATTCAGTTCAAATTACGAGCTCAAAGCGACTTCCAGCTTTGACTCCTACTCGATGTGCCATCTCGACAAACCAACTGGTAACTTATTTTGACTTGAAATATTGTTTTATTGTTTGCCTATTTTTTTTTAAATTAATTTCCTTCGAGAATTAATTATTATTTGATTAAAATTCAAGTGATTGAATTTATTTTTAATTAAACTTCGAAAGATTCGTTGTTGATTTATGTTTGATATTTAAAAACAGTTCGTAGAACTAAACTTGTAAATTCAAGTGAATTGAATTTATTTTTGAATTAAAATTCGAAAGATTCGAATTTGTTTAAAAGAAAAGGTAAACTTCTGGTAAACAATGCCGTACGATCATCGTAATTTGAGAAAGCTAACTAAAGTAAGGGATACTTTGGTGCGATCCTTCAAATTCCAATTGAGAGCCCGTCAGCCCAGGTACGAAATTGTGAGGAATGTTATCGTCAACGCCAATGGGGATGTTATCGAGGACCTGATGGAGACCCACCGCCGTCAAAGCCAGCAGGAACAGTGATATGCCCATTGTCACACGCTCAGCTTCCAAAATCGCGAAGTTGAACGCAACTACGGAAGAAATCAAGGCTTCTGTGGACAACGTCTTCGGAGTCAACGAATTGGTTTCCAAAGTCAACGATACTTTAGAATTGGTTGGACCCGCTGCCATGGACACCGTTACCGACGTGCCCATGCACGTTCCACGTTACCAGATGGACCTTCATGTACCAATGGTTCTACAGGAAGCCCAGTCTGGGACAGCCCAGCATAACAACGCTGCTAGCGTTTGTTTCAACACTTCAGGTGCATGTAGCACCATTTTGCTTGCCCAATCCGAACCCCTGACGACAGGCAGCCCTCAGGAGGAACCTAGAGGACGTCATTCCTTGGACCAGCCGATCCAATCACAACAGCGTGTTGAATTCGACAGTCAGTCGATTCTCTATAAAAGAGAGGATACGACCTCTCAAAAATTCAGTACGAGCTCACCACTCGACAAGACAACAGCTTCCCTGGTTGTCTGCAAATACAAGTCGTCGCTTCAACTTGAACATCGATTTTTATTCCAATCCACCTGAGGGCTACCTTTGCTTGCTGCTGCTACGAGAGCAAGGAAACGAATTGTTCTTTTAAGAACAACCAAAAAGAAAGAAAGACTTTGTGTAGTTATTACCTTTTCATAAGAAAAGATTAAACTTCTACACCGTGGAAGACAGCACCAGGTCCCAACCGTTGGATTACAGCACCGCCAGCGAGGTCGAGCGACGTCCCAACCATCGGGTTGCACAGGTGGTCAACATCGCCGACCAGTTCCACCAGCGGGGCCGTGCCAGGTCCAACAGCTGGGCCGATCCAGGTCCAACAGCCGGGCCGACCCAGGTCCGACAGCAGGGCCGCTCCAGGTCCGTCAGTGGGGCCGATCCAGGTCCACTAGCGGGGCCGATCCAGGTCCGACAGCAGGGCCGATCCAGGTCCGACAGTAGGGCCGCTCCAGGTCCGTCCGTGGGGCCGATCCCAGGCCATTCACAGGGCCGATCCCGGCCTACTCCTAGGGACGATCCTAGGCCTTCCGAAGGGGCACGTATGGTACGTACCCGATCACAGACCAGGATGGATGTGCACCAGGTGCCTGCCGGGGCTCCAGCCATAGATGACGACGAACCCGAGTACCTCCCAGCTGAAGACAGCTTCTTAAAGGGCACAGGCGACGCTGATCAGGTCCACCAGGTCGGCGATGCCTCACCACCATCTTCCACGAGTACCATCCTCGCTGGGCAACAACCCGGAAGTGTCCAGGTGCCGGTGCAAGCATCTACAGCGATTCCAGAGCACCGAGTCACCCGTGTACAACAAGCGTGTTGAAATTCGACATCAGTCGATTTCTTATAAAAGAGAGGATCAGACCTCTTATAATTCAGTACGAGATTACCACTCGTAAAGACAACAGCTCCCTGGTTGCCTACGAATACAAGTCGCCGCTTCAACTTCGAACTTGATTTTCATTTCAATCCACCTGAGGGCTACCTTTCCTACTGCTGCGTCGAGAGTAGGAAAACAATTGTTCTTTTTAGAACAAAACACAAAAAGAGAAAAGCTTTAAGTAGTTACTTACCTTTTCAAAAGAAAAGATAAAACTTCTTCACCGTGGAAGACAACACCAGGTCCCAGCACCGCCAGCGAGGTCGAGCGACGTCACAGCCATCCGGTTGCACAGGAGGTCAACATCGCCGACCAGTTCCACCAGCGGGGCCGTGCCAGGTCCACCAGCGGGGCCAACCCAGGTCCGACCCAGGTCCAACAGCGGGGCCGCTCCAGGTCCAACAGCGGGGCCGCTCCAGGTCCGTCAGTGGGGCCGATCCAGGTCCACCAGCAGGGCCGATCCAGGTCCACCAGCAGGGCCGATCCAGGCCTACCAGCAAGGCCGATCCAGGTCCACCAGCAGGGCCGATCCAGGTCCGTCAGTGGGGCCGATCCCAGGCCATTCACAGGGCCGACCCCGGCTTACTACTAGGGACGATCCGAGGTTCTTCGAAGGGCAACGTATGGTCCGTACCAGATCACAAGCCAAGATGGACGTGAACCAGGTGCCTGAGGGGGCTCCCGCCATAGACGATGATGAACCCGAGTACCTACCGGCAGAAGACAGCTTCCTGGAGGGCACAGGCGATGCCGACCCGGTCCACCAGGTCGACGATGTTTCGCCACCATCTTCAACCAGTACCATCCTCGTTGGGCAACACCCCGGAAGTGTGCAGGTGCCGGTGCCAGAAGCTACAGCGATTCCAGAGCACCGAGTCACCCGTGTACAACAAGCGAATGTCGAAACGGGCCTCAGTCACTGCTCGATGCTGATTGGCCACACATCGTGGCGAATCAGAGCACGACTGAGGTCCGGTCGTCTATAAAAGAAAAGACGATTGTCGTTTCAAGTTAGTCTCTCTTGAGCTTTCAAGAGATCAGTCACCAGTCCTCCTGGTAACACCTAGCAAACCGTCGACTTTACCTTACTACGTTGTTTATATTCGAAGACCCGGTGATCCCACCAGCTAGTACGAGCCCAAGTCCTGAGTGCAGGCACAACTTGTTCTTTTGAGAACAAACCAACGTCGAAGACCTGAGTGTAGGCACCTGGTGATCTACACGTTCCTGTCCAAGTCCTGAGTTAGGCAACAAAGGTTCTCATTAGAACTAAGCAAGAGGATGGAATTCCAGACGCTCCGACTGTTCCCGTCCATGACCAGCCCCCGTCACCTTCAGATGCCACCACAATCCTCGAGGGCCAACCCGGAAGACTACCGGCACTAGGGCCGGAGACTTCCATGATTCTTCCGACCCAAGAGGACCGCGTACGTGGTTTAGGTTGTGTGGAGATATCGAAGGTAATTTGGTAAAAGGCACTATACAAAGTAAAATAAGGGTAAAGTAACAATTTTTTTCTAATGGTTAGTGTTGCAAACAAAATATCCAGAAGCAGAAATAATATAAAATTCTTTAAATGTATATGTTAACAGAGAATGTAAATGAGTTTAATTTGTGTATTTAAAGCAGGTTTGTTAAAATTAGCTTACATGCAATTAGTAGCACAGGATGAACGCCTACTACAGTTCAGCGCCCACCTGAGTACTGCGTGCGAGGTTTTGGTGAGACTAGAATGACATAAATAAACTGTACATACTTACAAAGATTTTCACATTAAGAAATTTGACATATAGGTTAAAAACTAGTGTAAAACTGTATTTAAAATGGGTGGACAATTAAATAAATAAATAAAATAAATAAATAAATAAATAAATTAAATAAATTAAATAAATTAAATAAATTAAATAAATTAAATAAATTAAATAAATTAAATAAATTAAATAAATAAAGCTGTTTTATCTCAATTTGACTAGAATTTAGTATTAATAAATAACGTGAAAAACAATACAGTATGTTATAAATTGTGAAAATGACTAGATTATTTTTGGAACAAGATTCTAACCTGGGTCTCTGTGGATGAATCCCATAATGCCTTGGTATAGTCTTCTGTGTGCTGGGTTGTGGTCTTGTATGTTTCTTGCGAGTTGATTTTCGCTATTTGCTGCTCGTTCCACAGTGTTTGTTGCATGGTTATGTATGTATTTTTTAATGGAGCTGATTTTTAAGTCATTTCTGAGAACGGAATTCCTGACGAACCAAGGAGCACCCGTAATGTGTCTGAGAAATTTATTTTGAAGAATCTCTAGCTTGTTGGTGTGTGTTGCAGCAGCTGTGCACCAGGCTGGGGAGGCGTAGGTGATGGTAGGACGGATTAAGGCCGTCCATACCAGTTTCCTATTTTTGAGGCTGAGTTTACTGTTAGGATTGGTGATGGGTCTGAGCTGTGAGGTGATATATTTAGCCTTTTCAATTACCTTGTCGATATGGATTTTCCAAGTTAATTTACGATCAATCGTGACTCCAAGATAGGTGACTTGGTTTGACCAGGGTATGTATCTTCCTTCGTACTCCACATTTTCCGGCTGGGCGCCACCACCTTTTGAGAGGTGGATAGCCTGTGTTTTCAGGGGGTTTATTTTAAGTCGCCACTTATCTGACCAGGTTTCAACGTTGTTTAGAGGTATTTGCAGTCTGTGGTTTATAACTCGATTGTTTCTTGATCGGATGAATAAAGCTGTGTCATCAGCATATAGGGCTAGGTGTACCTCGGGAGTTCTTGGAAGGTCGGTCATAAAAATATTAAAGATCGTGGGGCCTAAGACTGATCCCTGGGGTACACCAGCTGTGATGTTGTGAGTGGTAGACAGGGAGGAACCATATTTGACTTTAAATTGTCGATTTGACAGATAGGACGATATAAGCTTTATAATGGAGGGTGAGAAATTGAGGTTTATCATTTTGGCCAGGATACCTTGGTGCCAAACTTTATCAAATGCTTTTGCAACATCTAGGAGAATTAATCCCGTTTTCTCTTTCGAATCAAATCCCTCCATTATGAATTCAGAGAGGCGGAGGACCTGGAGTTCCGTGGATAGGCCCCTGCGGAACCCAAACTGTTCGTCAGGAAGAAGGTGGTGTTCATAAATTTGTTCATCCAGTCTTTCTTTTAGGGCTCTCTCGCAGATTTTTGCCAGGGAGGAAATAAGAGAAATTGGGCGGTAGTTCTGCGGAAAAAGTGGATCCTGTTGGGGCTTGGGGAGCATGATAACTTCAGCTTTTTTCCATATAGAGGGAAAATGGAGTGTTGTAAAAATGGAATTTATCAGTGTAGTTAAAGTCTGAATTGTCGACTGTGGAAGCTTTTTAAGGGCAGTATTCGTGATCTTATCGTGGCCTGGCGCTGTTTTAGTTTTAAGGGATTGGATAATTTGCGAGACTCCTCGACTGAGACGGGTGGAATGTCAGAAATGGGATTTGAATTGATCGTTCTATTTATGGATTAAAAAATTTCCTCGTCGTCATCTTCATAATCTGAGTCCCCCTCGTTTGGGGCGAATTGGGACTCAAGATGGTCTGCAAAAATGGAGGCTTTTTCTTCTGGGGTGAAGGCTAGGCCGTTGGGGCCATGTAAAGGATGTATGGCTTTTTTAGGTGAATTTCCACGGTTTTTCATAGCATTTATCAGTCGCCAGGCACTAATGCTCCCTGTTTCCATGGAACTGAGGTTTTCAGTCCATATTTCATTGTGAAAAGTTTTTAAGGCGGCACGAACTTGCGTTGTGAGGTTATTTAGTGTTCTTCGGTCTTGCGGGTCTAGGGTACGGGAAGCATTTTTTTTGCTCTCCTTTTGGCCTTGATTAAATTGGATATTCGGGCTGGAAGTTTATAGGGGGCTCGAGTTGGAATTTGGGAAGTTGTAGTGGAGTTTAGCAATGCTGTGGTGACTTTGTTTGTTAATGAGGTGGCTAAGTGTTCTATTTCCACATGATTTGAAGGCAGACGGGTAATGGGTGGAAACTGGTCTAGAATGTTTTTGTATAAGATCCAGTTTGTTCTGGTGCGCGAAAAAGTGCTCGAAAAAGGTGGAACAGTTGGGCCTATGTGTATGATGACCGGATTGTGATCTGAAGATGTTTCGTGAATGGTGTTAAGTAGAGTGTTTTGTGTAATATCTTTGGTGATGGCTATGTCGATCACATCCGGTCTGCAGTTAGCTTTGCAAAATGTAGGTTCAGTAGGACCGTGGATCTCCCAGTAATTATTCATGGCCAGAGCCGAGAGTTTTTTCCCATAAGTATTGGTGAGCCTGGAGTGCCACTCAGTGTTCTTGGCATTCAGATCTCCTGCCAGGATGGTAGGGTAGACACTTGACAGAGCCAGGAGATTCTGCCGGCGAAGATAGTTTCGATATATACTGAGGTAATTTCCAGTGTTTGGTAATTTAATTTTGGGGCAGAACAGTGGGCTATGGTGGTTTTAATAAAAATCGCAGTGCCTCCACCCTGTCCGCCACGTGGGCGTGGTGTGAGGTAAGAGATATACCCTGGGAGACTATAAGAAATATCGGCTTGTAATTTTGTTTCACAAACAAGAATGGCATCAGAATCTTCGTCATTTATTATATTTAATATTTCGTGTTTTTTATTGCTAATACTATTGGAGTTCCAGGTGACTATTTTTAATGCTTTAGGCTTGGAAATTGACATTTTGATTATTTTTTCGCAGACTTAGGAGGGTGGAATCTATTTTATCAGTCTTAGAGACTAGCATGGTTAGAGTATTAGTGATGGCAACTAGAACACTGGCCAGATCTGAGTTGGCAGAAGTAGGGGGAGGTTGTGCTTGAATTTGGGGAGCTAGGACACTGCTGTAAGTTATACCTTGGTTGACTAGTCTACTGGTTTGCACGGGTTGTGAGTTTTTAAAGTTTGGGTTTTTTGGGCAAATCGGTGCGTTTGCAGTGACCGCCTCCGCAGTTTGCGCAAACTAAGTTTGCGTTTTTTGCTGCAGTGCATTCCCTTGTTAAATGCGGTTCGGCACATCTTACACATTTGGGAGCTGCTGTGCATTTGGTTTGTACATGGCCATACTTCTGGCAGCGATAGCACTGGCCAATGTTTGAGTTTCGACGCAAGGCCTCTACTTTGATTTTAATGTTAGAAATAGCGTCTAGATCGAAAATATGCTTTTCATGAAGAGGAAGCTTGACAAGGATCAGAGGCATTATTTCTCTGTCCTTGCCTTTTTTCATTCTCGTGACTAATGAGGGGGAGAAATTGTTGGAAAGTTCCTGAGAGATGTCTTCAATTGGTATCTCTATTGGGAGACCTCTTATGACAACTTGGAGAAGACGCTCTTCTGGAAGTTGGTAAGAGTGAAACTCTTCTTTATTTGATTCGAGGAAAGCTATAATTCCTCTGTAGCTTTCAATGCTGGTAGGGTATAGTTTAATACCATCCGAGGTATTAGTGGCTTTGTGGAAATGCCAGCCGCGGAGAGTTATCTCTTTGGATATCATGGACCAGCGCTTTTTAACTCTGAGTACAATTGGGGGAATTTTTGGAGAAATTGACTCGGCAGTATTGTTGGGAATTGTAGTAGAAGCTGTCGGGATGTTTTCCTGCGATGTTGTTTGGGTTTGTGTCGGGGTTGGACTAGGGGGGACATAAGTAGAAACTGAAGGATTGTTGATATCTTGATTTGTGTTAGAGCTGATCTCTAGTGCCTTGGGTAGAGTAGTTTGTGTCGGGGTTGGACTAGGGGGGACATAAGTAGAAACTGAAGGATTGTTGATATCTTGAGTTGGGTTAGAGCTGGTCTCTAGGGCCTTGGGTAGATTAGCTACCGTTTTATGTTTTTTGGGGAGGGGGGAGTTTCTTGATTTTTTGTAGGGTTGGTTAAGTCATCTAAGCTGGCAGATCTTCTCCTTTTTGTGAGGCTAGATACATTTTGATTGGAATCTGAAGAATGGGAAAAATCCATCGAATCGGGGTTGTTTTGAAATTGGATAGCAAGGGTTAAGGATTGAAGTTGGTCCTGTATACCCTTAATCATGTTAGTCTGCTCTTGCAATTGTAGGGCTTGTTCCTGCATTTGCAGGGATTGGGCAGCCAGACGGTTGTTTAGGTCATCAACCATCTGGATTAATCTTCCATTTTCTCTAGATAGTCTGAGGTTTTGTTCCTCTAGTGTGGATTGGGTTAGGCCAGTTTTAGCTTTTTCGAGTTCGTAACCCTTATGTATGAGGTTGGCAGAAGTATTTAGCTCATGAAATTTTTCAGCTATGAAGTTACTGGCATTTGGGGAGATAGTTGTTATTTTTTCGGGAGTTGGGTCTTTGTTTTCGTGGTTTTTCGTATTTTTTGAGTTTTTTTTTTGTTTTATGGGGGGTAAATTTTTTTGATTTTTTTGTAATATTTTTGGTTTAGTCCCCGTTTCTGGGGTTCTGGATAATTTGGAAGAGGCATTGAAAATGTCTTTTTCTTCTGTGGGGGGGTTTTATTGCCCTCGGAGGCAGGGGTGATATTTAAATCAGGCATATTGCGTTTTTGTGCCATAGTAAAAATTATTTTCGATTAAAATCAATTAAAAACAAGTATTTACGATTTTTGGACGGAATAACACAATTATTTTTAAAAGGGTAGAATTTTTTTAATAAAATGGGTTTGTATAAGGGACGAAACGTGGTTAAAATTGAATAAAAATAGTAAAATAGGGCCACACGAGGTTTCGAAAGGCCGCTGGCCAATCAGCGGGCTAGGACTAGGGGGCGTGGCTTGTGAGACCAGTTGGCGAGCTTATAAATATGAGTGCCTGCAAACGACTGCAGCAGACCCACCGCAGCGGCCGAAGGCTACGGAGCTCTGATGGCGTGCGCATGCACTCAAATTTTGGATGTTTTGTATATAGTAAAATAAGTATAAATAGGAATAAAAGAGTTGGTATAAAATATGACATACATGATTAAAAATAAGTGACATGCATGATAAATAGATAAAATGACAAAAATAAACAAAAATAGACTAACCTCGTGTGTAAAATTTCAGAAGAAAACAAAAAATGACGCATATAAATTCACAAAAATAAACAGAATAAATATTAAAATTATAATAAAGCGGGGACCGACGCCTACTCAGTTCAGCGTCGGTATAACCTCTCTACTCAATGATCGCAATTCGAGTGATGATATGAACGATTTTTGCTACTGTCGATTGAAAGCACGCCCTTTTATAAATTCACGACCGAGCTCACAAGCTCCGCCCACTAAAACTCGGCCTCCCATTGGTCGCTGCTAATAATTCTCAACCCGTGCAACAGCGTTTTGACTATTTCGATAATTTAAAGACTTTTTAACAACATTTTAAAACTTTTAACAATTTTAAAGTGTTCCACACATTCAGACCTAACAGTGAAAGTGATTTTGAACTGTCTTTGAGATTATCTACACTTTTACAGAACTTTTAAAGTGAACATTTTTAATTTTACATTTTAAACAAAACCATAATAATTATAATGTCAGAACATTCTCTGGCTGAATCTATCCCCCAAAACAACGTTGGATCACCCTCCAACAGCACTAAAAAGACAAGGAGGCAATTGCCTTTAAAAAATACCTGAAAATAACACGAACTCCAACAAAAACAGGAGGAAAAAAGTCCTCCAGAAGAGTAACCATTGCACACGCTGTACCCGATGAACTATACAATTTAGTAAATGTAAAGCCAAATGAAAAACGCATTTCTCCAGGTATTGAAGAAAAAATAAAGGTACTGGGAGAAATTAGGGACAAACCCACACCCAAACCGGACAATGATCTGAAAACCATACATCTCAACTTTCAAAATCAAAGGCTAAACGAAGAAAACAGCAGACTAGTTGGTCTAATAGAGAATTTGCAAGCCCAACTGAGAAGCCAATCAGAACAAATGAGAAGCCGATCAGAACAAATAACTGGACTCCAAAAACAACTGGAAAACTTAACAAACGCCATAAACAATACCAACAAACAAACTCCCATGGAAACCACGAAGATCTCCCCAACACCAGGTGAAAACCAAGGTAAAAAGAGGAAAAATAGCCTAGACACCAACTCTGAAGACAACTACAACCTGAGTTACCACAAATTAGACAATCAACAAGCATCCACCAGCAAAAATTATCAGCCACTAAATTTGCAGAACACACAACTTCAAGTTACTCCCCAAAAAGAAACCAATGATGGCAATGAAGAACCAAATGGGCCCATAACTCCTAAAACCAAAAGGAAAAAAATCAACTATATTCCACCAAAAAGTCCAACCATACAACAACAAGACAGATCAGCCGCAAACAACAAGGTACAAACCGAAACAACGGCCAGCAAAATCCCTCCAATAGTCTTTAGACAAAAGAATCGTTGGACTATGGTGTCTAAAGAACTGGAAAATATAAATTTACACTTCACAAAAGCAACAACTGTTGCTGATGGCATTAGATTCTTCCCCACTAATATAGACAGCTACAGAGGCATAACTGCCTTTTTAACAAAAAACAAGGAAGAATATCACTCCTATATGCTGCCAGATCAAAAACTGCTACAAGTAGTTATTAGAGGCATTCCAATTGAAATCCCGACGGAAGAAGTGGAAGAAGAACTTATTGCCTTAGAATACCAAATCAAAAAAATTCTTAGAATGAAGAGAGGGCCCAACAGGACTCCAATGCCACTTATTCTCTTAAAACTAACGCAAGACCAAACAAAAATTTACGATCTGGAGTACCTATGCCAAATCAAAGTTAAGGTTGAACCTCTGGTAATAAGCGGTGCCATTACCCAATGCTACCGCTGCCAAAAGTTTGGACATGGAAAACAAAAATGCAAGGCTTTATATAAGTGCGTTAAATGTGGACAATCACATCCATCCCAAGAATGCCAAAAATCCCGACAGTCGGAGCCAACCTGCGCCAACTGCGGTGGAAACCACACGGCAAATGCAATTATATGCCCCAAAAATCCAAACGCGATAAGATACGCGACCAAAACGGCCCAACAACCAAACAACAACAGAATCAACGGACGATCATATGCTGCAACTGTCGCAAATGATAAAATACAACAAAATCCTCAAGTAACTACAATAGAACCACCAAATCAATTCTACCAAGACTTTCAAAACTTTATGGCAACAGTGTTAGCTAAAATCGAAGGTATAGAGTCCAGACTAGCCATTCAAGAATCCAACCAAATATACTATGAATGAATGAACTTTACCAAAATCAATCAAAAATCAGCAGGCAGTCCGTAAGTCAACTCAAGTCCAAAACAAACAAAAATAAAAAAAATAATAATACCTTTTCCCTACAACTCCCAGCCCTCAGCTACCCAACTTTTTGTGTTCGCAATATCAAACCCTAACAGTAAAATAATATTAATACGAACCATAAAATCTAATTCACTGCGAACTCCCTTTGCTAATCTATTAAGAAAAAAAAAATAAATATGTTTTCTCTATGTTAATAATGACTAATTACAAATTTATCTGTTCTAGCTATATAAAAGAAAAAAAAATAATTTTGGTATAATTTTTCAATATGCAGACGGTGTCGGAGCCCAACTTATTATAGTTTGTCACGGTTCACTTTTCAGTGGGCGCTATCTAAAGTAATATCTAGTTTTAAAGGCTCTGCCCGACTCTATAGTTGCTCAGGGGTGTGGGTTATAAAGGGATGTTCGTAGGCGCCACGTGATTTAAGTGGCCCTTAAAACGTAGAAAGAGAAAATCACGAAATAGATATAACTTAAAGGTTTATTACTGATATATAATTTAAAATAACGCAATAAGTGATTATACTTGTGTTTAGGATAAATACCAAAAATAATACCGAAGTGATCACTTGGGTTTACAACCCTTTTGGTAGTTACGAACTACAAAAACCATATATATATATTCTACAAGTAAAATACCACTCTGTAGCTGAAGGCTACCAGGGCAAAACAAAAATTAAGTAAAACTGGTGCTTAGGGCAACCAGGGCAAAACAAAATTGGGGCGACACTACAAGTTAAGCTTGTAGGTATAACAAGGTTAGCAACCCGAGGGTTGCAACCTGATCTGGGTAAACCTGGTTATACGGTCAAGCTTAACCAAATCAGTTCGCAACACAACGAACAATACTGACCAATAAAAATAAAGAAAATCAAAAATAAGTTGGCCGTTGGTCTGGATCAAAACCAACCAGCAGCTGGTTATACGGGCAAAAGCTGGTCAGCCTTGGTACAGAACAACAAACCTTACAAAAATATTCATATAACAAAATAACCTATACTCCGGTATAAATACCACACAATAAAGTAAAGAATAAAATGGAGGTAAACTTAGCCTGCTGCCAAACGTTGTCACAATCGGGTAAGTCGTCAAATCCGGGGAAAGTGTCTTAATCGGGTGATGGGTGAGATGGCAGACGTCGATCTCAGTCCTAGGCTTGTCCGGGTACCTTCGCGGTAGTGTATGCCCCGGAACAAGGGTCACAATAAGGGTGGATATCTGGGAGATAATCCGTCGTGTCCAAGTTGTGTAAAAGTTACACTAGTAGGGTTATGGAAACCTAAAAACAAACAAAACCAAAACAAAAACAAAACAAAAACCCTAAAAGAGAAAAGTAAAGGTATGGAATAGGTCTACCAAAGAAATTATTTGTACTTACGCCTGGTTGAATAAATTATTGCACAACGATGTCAAGTTATAACCGTGGGATTTTATTCAACGATGTTATGTGCGGTGTAGTGTGAAATGACGCTGGCTTAATCACTAAAATAGGCTTAGATAGAAAAAAAACCATGAAATAGACAAAAGACGCTTACCTAGAGCATGTGCATTTTAAATCCGGACGAATCCGCTAAATCCATAGACCAAAGATACAAAATCAAAAACGGTTTCTCTGAAGACAAATCCCGCAATTAAGAACGGATGGTGGAAATAAAACCAAATCTTCAAAGCACCTGTTGCACACGCTCACAAGCCTAACGCCAAATGTCAAATGTCAAGGAAACCAAGCGTCACCTCAGCAGGAACGTTACATAACTTTAACGTTGGCAACACTGGATTTACAGTATGCAACCCACAGATAAAATCTAGGGGTGCGATTAAAATAACGTTGGCCGCACTGAATTACTTGACAGATAAGATGTAAACAGAAAATGGCTACATCAAAATACCATTATAAAATATAGACAACCAAGGCAAATACAAATAATAACCCAACGAAGGTATTCCTAAAACCAAACTCAATCTCTTAGGAAACGAAAAGAGTCTTGTAGAAACCGAGGTCCCTGCAAAATGTACCTTAAAACAACGGTAGAAAACATAAGACAAACAAGGTAAATTAAATAGTAGAACTAGACAATAATAATATATGTAATAAAAATTTTAGTAAGGAGAGAAAAGGTCATAAAACTAACCAGGCATTACCGGCAAAACCAAAAGTAGGACAGAAAAATTATACGGTACGATATCACTTAAAATATATTATAAGTTAAGAAAATAAACCAAAATAGAGAAAATAAAAGTAGTACAGCAAGTAAAGTATGGAAATTAAAATAAATAATAAAGTGCCGATAAGTAAGTTTTAGTTTTATTAGCAAAACAATAACAAATTCATAAAATAAACTAAGAGTCTTTTTGACACGTTACAAGTTGGTGCTTGGGCACCCCCCTGCTAGAGAAATGCAATGGCCGCTGGCGTCCAAGTAATTTTCTCAATTAATTTAAAAAGTTCATGTTAATTTTTAGCCTTCAGCACCTAATATTCTCAATTAAACAATGACAAAACAAAGCTTTTTGCTTTGTTAAATTTTACCTAGTAGCCTCATGTTTTTTATTATCTTGAAGAGTTGGAGTCTAAGGTCCCTTCTGACCGACTCCTGCTCGGACACTTTAAGTCCAGCAAATTAAAGGGCCCACACTAGACCGCAGCAAATCCTTCGCAGCGGCCGAAGGCTTAAGGTGCGATTTCGTTGCGACGTTCAGACGTTGCGGCCCGCTGCGACGTCTGGCAGTGACGGCTAGCCGTTGCGTTCCCATGTTTTAGTGCGGTTTCGTTGCGACGTCCAGCGTTCGCGGGCGTCTACATTAAAATTATCTAAAATTATAGCAGTCGTTTGTCATATTTTGAAGCGAGTGAAAAAAAATGGATCCGAATATATTGGCAATATTTTTGCTTGAAGATGAAGAAGATTATGAAATTCCTATGTTATTAACGTCCAGAAGAAAATAAACTAACGAATTAACACTTATAAAGTTCTAATGAAAAACCATCTTGAAGCAGATAATGAAAAGTTCTGTGGCTTTTTTTGACTTAATAAAGAGCAATTGGATTTTGTTTTAACTCTTATTTGTAAAGATATAAAAAAGCAGTCCACAAATAGTGTAAAAATTCCAATTTGCCCGAAGGAAAAACTTGATTTAACACTTATATTAATATTTCGTCATCAACATTAGTACAATTTTTGGACATTTTCACTAATAAATTTACTATTATAACATTTATTTCTCTCTCCATAAATTTAAACTGCAAAAACTTGGTTAGCGTTCGCGTCCCGACTTGTTTTTGAGCAGTCGAGACGTAGCCGTCGACGGCGGGCTGCTGCGTCTTCCAGACGAACCGCGTTAACGAAATCGCTGCCAATGCAATGCATTATAGCAGTGCTCGACGGCTGGACGCCGCGGCGGGCCGCGAACGCTGGACGTCGCAACGAAATCGCACCTTTAGGAACTCGAGATTTGGACAGAAATATCATCTTATATGTATAAGCATAGGGCTACTTGTATAATTAAAATTGGTAACAAACACATGATTAAAAATATTCAATAAAATATGGTATAAACACTCAAAGTAAAATTGGACTGACATACAATAAGCACTAACCTCATGCACGTAGAATAACAGAATGTTGGAACACAAACACGGGATAAAAACAAAAAACGAAGCATAAAGGGGGACCGACGCCTACTCAGTTCAGCGTCGGTGTATCCTGTCTGCTCGATTGAACGCACTCGAATGTAAAATGTAAAAATGAGTAAATGTTAATCGTAGAAATTAGTGCCATACGAGGCTTGGAAAGACCGCTGGCCAATCAGCGGGCTAGGATTGGGGGCGTGGCTTGTGTAACCAGTTGGCGAGCTTATAAATATGAGTGCCTGCAAGCGACTGCAGCAGACCCACCGCCAGTGTTGCCAATTGCGGTGTAATTACACCATTTGGGTGTAATTTACTGACTGTGGTGTAATTTTCTAACATTTTTGAATGCGGTGTAATTTGGGTGTAATTTTGGACGGATCATTTAAAACGTACCTATTTTTATTTAAGGAAAGTTTTGTTTATGTTTTCACGCAGAAGAAATGCAATCTATGAAAACAAGCATTTTTTTATTGGAAAAACGGTGGGCATTGAAAATTAATAATAGGTAATAATAATAATAAATACTAGTTTGGACACCGCTGAATCATGATAACGTATTATTTTTGCAAAAAAATATGGGTTTCGAGCATACAACATTTTCAATGTTATAAATCAGGCTTAATTTTTGTTGGGGTGTAATGTGGTGTAATTCTGGAGAGTTTGGGTGTAATTTTGCCAAAAGCAATTGGCAACACTGCCCACCGCAGCGGCCGAAGGCTACGGAGCTCTGAAATTGTGCGCATGCACTCAATTTTGGATGATGAAAAATGATAATATAAGTATAAAGAGTGTAAATGACTAGATATAAAATATGACATAAAAGATTAAAAATAAATGACATGCATGATAAATAGATAAAAATGAACAAAAATAGACTAACCTCGTGTGAACAAAAATTTCAGGAGAAAACAAAAAATGACGCATAAATTTCACAAAAATTCACAAAAATGCACAAAAATAAACAAGATAAATATTGTATTTATATAAAGGGTGGACCGACGCCTACTCAGTTCAGCGTCGGTATAACCACTCTGTACAAAAGTTGTCGAATATGAATGGAGAACGGTGCGTACTGTACTGTACTGTGGCCTGAATTTGCTGGACAAAAGGTCCAAGCAGGAGTCGGTCAGATGGGACCTTTGACTCCTACTTATCACGTTAAAAAGACTTGATATTTGTTTGAAATTGCTCAACAAGCTTATGCAAGTTGAATGTTATAAATTTAAAAAGTTTTGTTTTTTTTTTGTTTATTAAAGATAATTATGTCCCCTCCTCTTTTTGTGTTTTTACTTTAATGGTTTTTGAATTGACTATTAGAGCTAGATAAGTTTAATTAAATAATTACAATAGAATAATGAACCGCCAGCGGCCTGTATATTCTATAGCAGGGGGAGGCCGGTAACCTAACTATAGAAGTTAGGCACCAACCTCGTCTGCATGGAGGGTTTTACGTGGTCTCTGAAAGTAAGGCATGGATTATGTATAATGAGAACAGGATTGTTAGTATAACAAAATACGAGCTCCATCTTTTTGAATTGTAATGATAGTAAAAGAGAAATGTTTAATAAATAACAGTTATAGCACACAGATTCAAAAATAAAATACAGTTATAAAGAACAAAATACATTGTTTTAAAAGCAAAATAAATAAGTGCATAAAGCAGAAATAAAAGCATACAAAATATCCAGATTAGAAGCAGTGCAAGTAAAAGAAAATAAAAGCATAGTTTATGTTCAACAAAAAGCCAGTTTAGTATCAAAAATAATTTCCATCGATTAATAAACATGCCGGGAAAGGTTGGTTGGTGGGAGGGAATGTGTGGGAGGATAGGTCTATCTAGCCTGGGTCATGGTTGTAATTCGCTACTTCTCTGGAGCCCTTGTATTTCCTCCTGGTATTATAGTCGTAGTTGATACTCCGTATTGCTAGGGGGTTTTCACAAGACTCACACCTTTGGAGAGCTTTACGGGCCGAGTTCTTTAGGTATTCCGTGAGGGGTTCGAGTTTTAGATCTTCTCTTAGGTTAGCGTTCCTCATGAACCACGGGGCTGCCGTGATCCTGCGCATATACTTGTTCTGAATAACCTCAAGTTTACCGAGGTGAGATTTAGCTGCAGTTGCCCATACTACAGCCGCATATGACAGGGAGGGTCTTATGAGGCATGTCCAGAGCATTCTGCGATTTTTCAGGTTTAGTTTACTATTCATATGTGTTACATGTTGGAGATTTGTGAATGTTTGGTATGCCCTAGCTCTGATGATGTCAATGTGTTTCTTCCAGGTGAGCTTCTTGTCTATAAAAACGCCGAGGTATTTTACATGCTCTGCCCAGTTGATATAGGTATCTCCATATCTTACACGCTCTGGGATGGTTCTGCCCCCTTTGGAAAGATTATTGCCTGATTTTTGTCTGGATTGATTTTTATCCTCCACTGGTTGGCCCAGTCTTCCAGTTGGTCTATGGCTTGTATAACGTCATCTCTTTGGTGAGTGACAAAGAGGGCAGTGTCATCCGCGTATAAGGCATAGTTAACCTGAGGCATGAAAGGGAGATCCGCTGTATATAAGTTAAACAGGGTGGGGCCAAGTACTGAGCCCTGGGGGACTCCAGCTTTTATTCTCTTGTTTACAGATTTGGAATCACCGACTTTAACGTTAAACACTCTGTTTTGGAGGTAGGATTGAGTGAGTTTTATTATATCTGTGTTGAGGTTGGCCCTGTGCATCTTTGTTATTAGTCCCTTATGCCACACCCTGTCAAATGCCTTGGCAAGGTCCATGAGAACCATTCCAGTTTTCATTTTCCTGTCAAAGCCAGCCTGGATGGTTTTGGTGATTCGGAGTAGCTGGACTTCAGTAGATAGTTTTTTTCTAAAACCAAATTGCTCTGGTGGAATCGCGTTTTTCTCCTCTATTTTTCGGATTTTAATGATCCTCTCTCCTACTTTCGCTGTTGTAGATAGCAGAGAGATTGGTCTGTAGTTGTCTGGGCCCTTCGGGATCATTACTACAGTGGCCTGTTTCCAAGGTTTGGGAAAATGCGTTAGACGTAGCGAGGCGTTTATAATGTTAACTAGAATGGTTAAGGTTTTCTCAGGTAGGTGCATTAAGGCCTTGTTCGTAATGCCATCCTGTCCCGGTGCCGATTTTCTTTTTAGCGATGCTATTACCGATTTAACTTCTGTTAAGGAGGTTGGTCTAATGCTGGATGCGGGCAATATATCTCTGATGTGATTGTAGGTCTCTTTAACCTCGCGATCCTCTTCCCAGTAGTCATCATTTGCAGGGTTTGGGGTGAGTTGGGTCTCCAGGTAGTCGGCAAATATTTCTGATTTTTCATCGTTGAGATAAGCCAATCCGTTTGTGCATGTAGTGGAAGTATAGCTCTTGTTTTCTTTTTACATAGGGTGTTGGTTACTCGCCAAAAATCCTTTGAGCCCACTTCTAGTGATTCTAGTTTATCCTGCCACCTGTTGTTGTGGAATTCATAGAGTTCCGTGGAAAGCTCTCTTTTAAGCCTGTTGAAAATGGCTTTATCAGCTGGGTAAAGAGTTCTTTGTTGTGGAATTCATAGAGTTCCGTGGAAAGCTCTCTTTTAAGCCTGTTGAAAATGGCTTTATCAGCTGGGTAAAGAGTTCTTTCCGCTCTTTTTTTGGCTTTCCTCTTGTCGTGTATTAGTCTTTTAATTCTGTTGGGGATTACGAAAGGATTTTTGGCTTGTAGGGTGGTAGTAGAGGTGGCGGAGTCAATGGCACGGTGAATGAGTACTGCGAGAACCTGGGCCTGGTCATCAATCTGTTGGGTTGTGTTAGGGGGGTTTATGATTGGCGTTTTTTGACCAATTTCCAGGACGAACTTAGGCCACATAGTTTTCCTGATTGTTGTGTAGTTTATTGTGTCCTGTCTTTGTCCCACCTCAAGGATTATGGGGTTATGATCTGAAGATGACTGCTGAGAGGTGGATATTTCTGTGTTGTGGTGAAAGTCTTTCACAACAAATACATCTAGTACGTCTGGTCTTGAGGTGCCCCTAAAGAAAGTTGGCTCAGTGGGACCTATGACATCCCAGTAATTTCTCGCAGCTGTTTCAGCTAGTTTTTTGCCTGACTAAAAATTTTCTAAGTACGAAAATACACGAAAATCCGACTATCACTTTTAACAAATTAAAACAATCAAAACTTTTTTAAGTCCGAACGACGCTGTTGGACGCCTACTCAATTCGGCGTCCACTGAACTGCACTGCTTCGCTTTACGACTTCGAAATGATCCGAATGAGAACAGTGCTCTCGTGTGGCCTAAATAATAATTTGCTGGACTATAGGTCCAAGCAGGAGTCGGTCATATGGGATCTTTGACTCCTACTTATCACGTTAAAATTGACTTGAATTTAAATTGTTTATTTAACATGTGCACGGTGCGAGCACTGTGCACATGATGTTTGACATGTTTTTATGAAAGGTTTGTTTTGAATTAATATCTAGGTTTTGGTTTTTAATCATAAAGAATAAATAAAATTATCAAAGGACCGCCAGCGGCCAATACATTTATATAGCAGGGGGGGGCAGTGAACCAACTATAGAAGTTGGACACCATCCCCGTATGCATGTTTTGCCTGAAAGTGAAAAAGTATATAGTACATTGAAAGTTGGTTTAGTGTTACATTACAAGAAAGCATTGTTCGTGACAGTAGCGCGCTTAGATCTAGGTTAGTAGTGAAGTATTAGTAAACATAATGTAACAAAAACCATGCTAGGTTTGCAGTTTACAGTTTTGGCTGAAGGCATATTATACAAGTGGGAGATTGATCTTCGTTTTTTTTTTTTAGTATACTATTATTTTTTTTAGTATTAATATACACTTAGCAGCAAAAGTATCGCATAATTTAAAAAATCTCTGTAAAACTTTAAAAACAAATTTTTTTTAGTAAATTTTGGTTACAGTTTAAATAAAAGACATAAAATAATTATATATTCAGTTTAATAACATAACATAACTCCACAATTGGCACATGTTGGGGTCTCAGTTTTTAACTTGGTGCACTCATACGACTGGTGATCTTGGCCACACTACACACATTTGGGCCTTGCCATGCAATTGTTTTGCCCGTGCCCAAACTTTTGGCACCTGTAGCACTGAGTGACAGAGTCCCCTCTCTTAAGGGCTTCCACTTTTATCTTCATGTGGCATATATATTCTAGTTGGTAGATGTTGGATTAAGTTTTGGGTACCTTGACGATGATTAAAGGCATTGGAGTTCTCTCTGGACCTTTCTTCATTCTGATGATAGGAGCTGGGTTAAAGCCAAGGGCTTCTAGCTCTTCCGTTACCTCTTGTAGCTTTACTTCGGTCGGAATACCACGCATCACTTCTTGTAGTAGCTTGTCTTGAGGAAGTTGATACGTATGGTATTCCTCCCCATTCTTTGACAGGAACGACGTGATCGCCCTATAGCTATCTATATTGGAGGGGAAAAACTTTATGCCCTCAGCTATGCTTGTAGCTCTGGAGAAGTCCAATTTCCTGGTGTTAAATTCTCTTGCTAGCATGGTCCATCTGGCTTTATTTCTCAGTACAATTGGCGGTATCTTGCTTTGATTGTCCTCCGTTGTAGGTTTTTGTACCTGTTTTGGCTCAATGCTGGCCTGGGGAGGTTTGGACTTTTTGTTCTGAGGGGTGGGTGGAATGTAGCCAGATGTAGATGGTAGGATTTCAGTTTCCGTGCCACCATTGTCAGGTATTGTTTCATCAATCTTTCTCTTTTTGCCTTGGGTATTTGAAGAGTTGTTTTCCCTTGTTGTGGTGGGTGTGTTGGCCGTGGGGGTGGTATGTAGAGGGGACTCTGTATCCATGGTAGAGTCTTGCTGGGTCGGCTTGTCGATTGGTTTGTTTACAGGTCCTGCATTCTTGTTACAGAGTTGTTCAGTTAGTCTTTGGACTTGGGTGGTTAACGTCTGTATTTGTAGGGCCATGTTTTCTAGCATGCCCACTAGTCTCGCATTTTCTTTTTTTAGTCTTTCCGCCTCGATGCCTTCTGCTGTTTTTGGGGCCTTGGGTACTGGCTTAACTTTTTTTTTAGTCGTTTTGTCGCTGAAAAGTTGATTTATTTTGTCTTCAATGTTTGGTGAGATGCTAGGCATACTAGGTTTAGTAGGTTCCTTCTTATTTTTGTCATCGTCATCAGCAAAAGACATAAATACTTTTCTTGTGAGTTTTTTCGTTTTTATTTCGTCTGGTTGTTTTTGTAATTTCCCCTTTGTTGGGGTTCGTGATATTCTGTTAGAATTAGTGAAGGCCTCTGCCTCTTTGTCAGGGTTGTTTGGGGGAGGGGGGTTATTTTGTGACATATTGGGTTGTAGTTGGGGACAAATACAGTGTATATATAAAAGCAATAATAAAATTAAATATGTGCACTAGCGAGCACAAGAAATTTAAAATTAAGTCAAAATAGAAGCAACAATTGGTTAAAAGCACGATTTATAAATTCTCAACAACAAGTTAATAGTCTTAAAGTTTCTTACTGTGTTGGCAGATGGATCCCTGAAGTTTTCGAAAAATTCCCAGATTCTGGGATTTTTCGGAAATTTGGCAACCTCGCCTCGTCTTGGATGAAGAAGTTTTCCCTGGGTCCTGGGAAGTTTCGGAGGCTTGGCAACAGAACGGTGCGTGTTGCGGACACAGGTCTTTATAGCCCGAGCAACAGAGCTCACAAGCCCCGCCCCCTTTTCTTGATCGCTCATTGGTCAGTTAAAAATTCTCACCTCGTGCACCGATTTTGTTCGATTTCTCATAGATTTCATTCATATATATAAATAAAAAATAAAAATATAATAAAAATAAAATAACTAGTCAAATTTTATTATTTATACTAAACTCAAATATTTTAAATTTGAGTATTTGGTTACTAATTAATACAAATCTTTCTGGTCACTTTCATGTGCCCAGCTACTCTCTTATCTTTCGGTCTTTGTAATTGAAGGCTGAAAACTGTTATCATGGCTGATAAAGGCCATCACTCCCCCCTTAAGCCCTCGGAAATTCCTTCCTTGGGAATTTTCTATAGCGAACTCAGTGATAAAGATGCCCCTGCTTTTGTCAGGTCTCACAAACTTGACCGTACCCCTGTAAAAGGCAGCAAGCCTCAACCACAACTGCAATCCAAATCCGACCGGGTCAAAGATGTCAAAAAACCAAAAAAAGACAAAGACAAAAATCCAGCAACTCAACCGGGGGTGATTCAGAACCCTTAGACAAGACCAAATCATCCATTTCCCCAAACATCGAGCTAACTATCACTAAACTGCTGGCCAGGAATCATACAAAGACAATGGGAGCGACTGGCTTATTATAGTCAGCACGTTCCCATTCCCCTGCTAGATAAAGTAAAGGCCGCTGGCGGACCCATCAATCCCACCCAGACCCAACACCCTTCCCTGCTCGCTATGCTAAAGCTCTCAATTACCAACCCAAGCAAACCTATCCTCATAGTAAGGGCAAAGGGTGAAAATGACCCGTTCTTTGCTAGGGAAAGTGCCCAGCATTATTCATTTGGAGGTTACAAATTAGTTAAAGCAATTAATTTACCTACTTATATAAAGGAATTAGACGATAATAAACATAAAGAATCAGAATATAAGAAAATATTACAAGCATGTTGCCTTTTTGAAATAAAAGTGCGCAGAATATCGACCGAAAAAGTCGGAAGTATTACACTAAGATTGTGTTGTCACACTAATTTATTAAAACTATAATAAAGTTAAACAAATTTATTATATTTTTTATTGTATTGCACATCATATTATAATGGTAACTCGTAACTCGTAAAAAATATATTATAAATTATCGATAGTATTATCTACTCTTGAAATTTTGAGGAAATAACCCAACTTAGCTTAGAAATATTTCTTCCAACAATTTTATAAATCAGTTTATTCTCTGGTTCATCCATCATCGTGACATCATCACGTTTTTTGGCTTCATCAAACCCACACTCTGCAAAAAACTCCTAAGCTTATTCTTGTGTACTTTTACAGCTTTACTGCTTTCTTTATTTTCAAATAATGTTCCCACGATTTTTGTAAAAAATTCTTTTTCTTCCTTTTGGTATGTTAAGTCGTTGCAGCTCCTGCTCAGTATGATGAACATTGCGCTGTTGTACGATTTGGTAAGTCTTGAAGGTGGTAGAGGATTTCTTCCTTTAATAGGAGTTGTCTTATTTATATTATCATCCAGGTTACTTAAGTCCATAACTTTTCGTGCTTTTTTACTGATATATCTTTGAGCCATGATAATTTGATGTCCAGATGAATTCTTATAATGATTTAATTATTGGAATCGTGTCGTTTTATTCAAGAATAAATTACCTGTTTCAGAGTAAAGGACGATTTATGTAGGTAAACTTTGTTTTAATATTTTTGTCTACGCATAATATATTAGTTAAAGCAACTTATTTACCTACGTATATAAAGGAATTAGGCGATGATAAACATAAAGAATCAGAATATAAGAAAATATTACAAGCATGTTGCCTTTTTGAAATAAAAGTGCGCTGAATATCGACCGAAAAAGTCGGAAGTATTACAATAAGATTGTCTTGTCACACTAATTTATTAAAACTCTAATAAAGTTAAACAAATTTATTTTGGTATTGTATTGCACATCATATTATGGAAACTGTAGCCTCCAAATGAATAAAACTGGACTTATTGCCCTAGCAAAGGAAGGGTCATAGTGACCCTTTGCCCTTATTTTGAGGATGGGAATGCATGGGTGGGAGTGGAAGAACTATAGCATAGTAAATCTGGGATGAGGTAAGATATGGGTGGGGTAGTATGGGTCCGCCAGTGGCTTAATATAGCAGGGGAATGGGAACGAGCTGGCTATAATAAGTTAGTCGCTCCCATTATCTGCATGTGATATGTCTGAGCAGACGAAAGGTACCTTGGAGAGCTGTAAAAATTTTTTTTGATTAGTCAGTGCATATCTCTTGAAGAGAGTGATGTAAGGCTATTGGCTAATAAAGTTAAACAAATTTATTATATTTTTTATTGTATTGCACATCATAATTATGGGAACTACTCTTGAAATTTTGAGGAAATAACCCAACTTAGTTTAGAAATCTTTCTTCCAACAATTTTATAAATCAGTTCATTCTCTGGTTCATCCATCATCGTGACATCATCACTTTCTTTTGGCTTCATCAAACCCACTCTCTGCAAAAAGCTTATTCTTGTGTAATTTTACAGCTTTACTGCTTTCTTTATTTTCAAATAATGTTCCCACGCTTTTTGTAAAAAAATCTTTTTCTTCCTTTTGGTATGTTAAGTCTTTGCAGCTCCTGCTCAATATGGTGAACATTGCGCTGTTGTACGATTTGGCAAGTCTTGAAGGTGGTAGAGGATTTCTTCCTCTGTATTGGTTTGTGGAGTGATTTGAATTTAAGTTAATTTAATGAATTTATTGTTGCAAATTTGGGAGATACGAGACATAGTTAGATATTTTGATTTGTTTTAAAACCTTATTTATTAATTGATTTTTTAATTTGTAGTTTAGTCACACTTATATTTACAATGGTTAAACCATTAAATTATTGAAAATTGACATTAAATCTATGTAGATTACAGGTTGTAGGTTTTAGTTTTACTTAGCTTAGGTGTGTTTTTTTTTTGTATGTCTCGTCTCCATCTTTTCAGAAAGTTTTACAATGATTTTTTTTTATTTATTTAGCAAACAATGTCAGTTAGGGTGGTCTGTAGTCTACAATGGTCCCTCTTATGCCTCCATATAGACGGCGGTCGTTCGGAGAGTAATTCAAGGCACTCTGCAGCACCCTGTTATATATATGTTTTCCGCTCTTTCGACTGTGGCTTATGTCATTTTTTGTATGTATTGCATAATGGGTTGTAGACTAAATTCCTCCCTAATTTGTTCTGTTCTAACAAACCAGGGGGCCCTGGTGATGGCTCTTAGGGTCTTGTTTTGTGCAATTTACAATTTCTTTTTGTGAATGTTGGCTGCGGTGGACCAGGACGATGCTGCATACATTATTATTGGTCTTAATATGGTTGTCCAGAACAGTCTTCTTTCCTTGAGGTTAAGATGTGAGCTGGCATAGAGCGGTCTTAGGGCCATCTTAACTCTGGTTAGTTTGACTAGTGAGTCTTCTATTTGTGCTTTCAAAATAAGTTTGTCATCCATTTTTACTCCCATATATATAAATAAAAAATAAAAATATAATAAAAATAAAATAACTAGTCAAATTTTATTATTTATACTAAACTCAAATATTTTAAATTTGAGTATTTGGTTACTAATTAATACAAATCTTTCTGGTCACTTTCATGTGCCCAGCTACTCTCTTATCTTTCGGTCTTTGTAATTGAAGGCTGAAAACTGTTATCATGGCTGATAAAGGCCATCACTCCCCCCTTAAGCCCTCGGAAATTCCTTCCTTGGGAATTTTCTATAGCGAACTCAGTGATAAAGATGCCCCTGCTTTTGTCAGGTCTCACAAACTTGACCGTACCCCTGTAAAAGGCAGCAAGCCTCAACCACAACTGCAATCCAAATCCGACCGGGTCAAAGATGTCAAAAAACCAAAAAAAGACAAAGACAAAAATCCAGCAACTCAACCGGGGGTGATTCAGAACCCTTAGACAAGACCAAATCATCCATTTCCCCAAACATCGAGCTAACTATCACTAAACTGCTGGCCAGGAATCATACAAAGACAATGGGAGCGACTGGCTTATTATAGTCAGCACGTTCCCATTCCCCTGCTAGATAAAGTAAAGGCCGCTGGCGGACCCATCAATCCCACCCAGACCCAACACCCTTCCCTGCTCGCTATGCTAAAGCTCTCAATTACCAACCCAAGCAAACCTATCCTCATAGTAAGGGCAAAGGGTGAAAATGACCCGTTCTTTGCTAGGGAAAGTGCCAAGCATTATTCATTTGGAGGTTACAAATTAGTTAAAGCAATTAATTTACCTACTTATATAAAGGAATTAGACGATAATAAACATAAAGAATCAGAATATAAGAAAATATTACAAGCATGTTGCCTTTTTGAAATAAAAGTGCGCAGAATATCGACCGAAAAAGTCGGAAGTATTACACTAAGATTGTGTTGTCACACTAATTTATTAAAACTATAATAAAGTTAAACAAATTTATTATATTTTTTATTGTATTGCACATCATATTATAATGGTAACTCGTAACTCGTAAAAAATATATTATAAATTATCGATAGTATTATCTACTCTTGAAATTTTGAGGAAATAACCCAACTTAGCTTAGAAATATTTCTTCCAACAATTTTATAAATCAGTTTATTCTCTGGTTCATCCATCATCGTGACATCATCACGTTTTTTGGCTTCATCAAACCCACACTCTGCAAAAAACTCCTAAGCTTATTCTTGTGTACTTTTACAGCTTTACTGCTTTCTTTATTTTCAAATAATGTTCCCACGATTTTTGTAAAAAATTCTTTTTCTTCCTTTTGGTATGTTAAGTCGTTGCAGCTCCTGCTCAGTATGATGAACATTGCGCTGTTGTACGATTTGGTAAGTCTTGAAGGTGGTAGAGGATTTCTTCCTTTAATATGAGTTGTCTTATTTATATTATCATCCAGGTTACTTAAGTCCATAACTTTTCGTGCTTTTTTACTGATATATCTTTGAGCCATGATAATTTGATGTCCAGATGAATTCTTATAATGATTTAATTATTGGAAT